CATGTTCGAATGTTTGAATATTGAAAAAAAAAATTAGGGAGCAATTTATGTGACTGGGTAATCATATTACACAAGATCTTACTATTATTAAGTATTCCGAAATATTTCAGGATTAGGATACCACCATTGATGCCAAAGTAGCTGATGCAGTTGATACAAGCGACCATAAGAAGAACGCCGAAGACGGGAAGCAACTAAAAAATAATGCAAGAGGTAAGAAAGAGGTTATAGGTTATTTGTATTCTAATAAAGTCGTTTAACGTACTATAATTCCGGCAGTAAATATGATCAAAATAATACAAATAGCACAAGCAAAGGAAAATATTTTAGACATTTTTGCAATCTTAAGATTAGTGATCATTATAATTATAAACATCTGTCTAATCGAAAAGTATATCAAATGAAAATTTCAACAAATTTTATTACACGAGATAATTCTGCTCTGCTACTAATACAATCATAGCTGAGAACACAAAGATCATAATTATTAGAGATGTATATTAGAATGCTGAAAAATAATGTCCGATGATTATGTCAATTTATAATTCCAAACTTTTTTTAACAATAGTAAATATATAATTCGCGGTTCACGATTTACATTTTCTTCCGGAATAAATTTCGATATTTAATTTTTTTTATTTGTTTGTACGGTCACTTTTAATAATAATTTATCTGATGATGAGTCAAAGATTCAAAGTAAAACTATCAAGGATATTAAGTAGTGAGAATAAAACAGATAAAAAATTATTTCATTTTGATCCATCATATATAGAACGTATAATATCTTAACGCACATTAATTTTAATAAATATTCTCAATCTGAAATGGTGGGTTGAAACAGTATGAGTCAGCGTTGAACAGATTTTAGAGAAGTATACGCGAATTACACTTACCTTTCGTTCCTAAGTCTGACAGTTTGGGATAATTATAGACTAATTTATCATATCGTTTTCTTTATCCAACGGAGTTTTCCGATAAGGATAAAAAATCTTAATTCGAATCCACGTGGTTCATGACACCTAATTTTTAAAGGCATATCTACAATCTAGATATTAAGTTATATATTGTATATATACATGGGGGTATAGTTGTTAGGCGAAACTATGTGATGCTAATCATCACATAGCCACATGTTAATAATATTAGTACTATTAACATGTGAATTCACATGTTAATATTTGTGGCTATGCGATGAATAGCATCACATAGTTTCGCCTAACTATACATGGGGGTCGAAATTAGGGTTGATTTTCGACAGACGGTCTGGAGAAATTGTTTGGGTATTTTCTCCATGGTGTTTCAGAACGTCATGTGCCGAAATTTTTTTAGTTATATCACCGATTGGATTTTTAACACGAACTATTGTCAATAAGTTAAGTGAAAACAACAAACGAAATACTCAATAAAAGAGCTTCTTTAGTCCCCATATGAGATAAATAAGAAATAAATACTGTTATACTAAGCTGTAAAAGAAAGCTCTGTCGTTATTTTTTGAAACTTTCGGGTATTTTTGGGTAGTTAACGATCGGTTGTATAAGGGGTAAGGGTGAATTCGGAAGCAAATTTTCAGGAAAACGGCCTTTTTAACTCACTTTCAACCTATAATTAAATATGAAGATATTACAATACTCTATATACTTAATTATAGATTCAAAGTAAGTTTAAAAGATCGTTTTTATGACAACTCACTTTGTATACGAAAATTTAAACAATGTTGTTCTTATTATGATTGGCTGATTTTAGGGTCAAACCAAATCAGTGCTCAGATGATTATTTTGCAATACGTATAATCTTTGATTTTTATATTATTTCCTTTTGAGGTGTTTGTATCACCGACACAAATAAATAAAACCCGTGTTTTCACGTGCTTCCGTGTTTTTACGTGTTTTGAATAATCAAAACAATACTGCATTGCTACATACATAAATATATCTAAATTTCTTACCGCAAATAAATATGATTTGTCTTTCGTTCTTAAATGCGTTGTGGCAAATCTGTTGGAATTCACCCTTTTAATACGCTTGGTAGCGGATAACATAAACAATCCGTAGTTTTTTTAATGGTTCTAGCCGTTCGTTCGACGTTATAAAAGAAAATTCGGAGAAGGGAGGTTTTTAGTTGCCTCTATGCTTCTTAAGTATAGAAACTAATATTGAAAGTCAAAATTAGTTTTTGACGTTCATGGGTTAAATGTGTGGATTGTAGACCAAAGGTTTCTCCACTATAACCCTTAGTTTCATATTGTTTTTAAAAACGTTTAAGAGCAATATGCAATTAAAGACTCTTGAACCACATATATATTAGCGGTGTGGGATGAGTGTGAGAGATTAATATTTAAGATAAATGTTCTTGTCGTCCCGTTACATGCATTATTGTCACGGGTTATGTTACATTAGCATGTTCGTTTTTTTTTTTGTTTTAGCGAGTGTACATTTATTATGAACTTTTGTTCAGGTAACGAGGTCGTCGTTGTTGGTGTCATCTTTTTGGAGTCGTCGTTTCGCTCGTCTTCGTAGGTGTGGTGAGATTCGTACGTGTCATTTGGAGTTTTGCTTGCGTAGTACGCCGTTATTGGTGTTTCTAGAATCTTTTTGTGTGGTTCGTCGTATTTAGTGCGTTCCTTCAGCTAATTTAGGTGCTTTCGCCGAGTTCGCGCTTTTTCATCAAACTTGGTGAGTTTCTCGTAGTTTTGGACGCTTTTTTTTCGTCGAATTTCGGCGTTTCTTTCAGCAGTTCTTTAATCAAGTTTTGGAAGTTCTATGTCGTTTTGGGCGCCTTCGTTCGTGCTTTTTTATTTTTTATTATTTTCGAGTCTTCGTCTTTTAGTTGTTTCTTTAGGTTTTTCTTCATCACTTTTGGTGAATTCTCGGTGTTGTTTTACATTCTTTATTGCTTTCGGCGGTTCCTTCGTTGTGTATGGTGAATAATTTTCAGGTTTCGTCGTTTTCGTTTGGTTTAGTGGATTTCTTTTGTCGAACTTTGGTGGATTCTTTTTATTGGGTTTTGATACTTTGGGTTCGTTATGCAAAACCGTTTTCGAATTGTTCGTTACGCTGCATGTTCGAAAACGTTTGCTATCCCTACTCCCAGCTGGCAGACTTCTTTATAATAGATATATATTTTGTAATTATAACTGGCAAGACAGCATAAAAGATTATTTTAAGTCCGAAACTCACATAACTACAGCAGGCTTCTTATGTGTAGTTTGCTTTATGATCTTGCGTGTTCGCTATGGTACAGAAAACCAAACTCTAGACTATAATTGACGCCGAAAATTTTCAGAAAAAAATGCAATTACGGCACTGAGCTACGATTTTGCCGTATTGCCGTATGAACCTACAATATTGGGTGTCGCCAAGGGATAAGCCAGACTTCAGCTTGCAAGTTTATTTCCTGTCGGACTCAATCACTATAAAATCTGATGTTTTGGTTCGATAGATTATAAACTTCAAAGCCCGAAGTTAGGTTTCCATTGGAGGACTTACGAAAATTACTTTTCACTTCATATAATTTTTTACTTTCATAATTTAGATTTCATACAATTTTCTCGTGTGATGTGCAATGGGTTTCGAATAGAATTCCCAATTAATATCCTTACTTTCAAAAATTATTTGTCAACTCGGAAATCATGGGACCGAGGATTGATTCTGCCACCACATTAGCTTTACCATTACAACATTTAAATCACGAAAGTTATAAGAAAAGTAGCCTACGTAAAATTACCACGTGTTTAATGTATGTCCTGGAAGTTCAATTTGATGATTTCTATCTTGTACTTCAGACCTTCTAGCAGCATTACGGGCATTACAGCAGTGATGAGCAGATTGTTAGTAACTTACCTTGGTAAGTTACTGACGTAAGTTACTGGTAAGTTACCATGAATTTTGGTAGGTTACCAAATGCTTGCTTGAAAAGTGCTGTCATTATCAGATTTCGGTATGGTAGACCATAAAAGACGGAAACTTTCGGAATAAAATATAAGTTACTTCGTTGATAACTTACCGATAACTTACCATTTTGGTAACTTAACGCCAAAATTTAAATTAAAACCTGATCGAGATTAACCAAGATTAAAAATGTATGTATTATTTAATCAGTTTGCAATATCGATATTTACCATTCGTTTATTTAATCCAATTTATCCGGATTTAGAATAAACAGGATCATAATTAAGGATAGGCAATTTAGGGTTAGGGTTATTAATAAAAGAGTATGTGGATTTTAGAGAGTATTATAGAATGCTGAGCCGTAAACCTTTAGGTTCGGGTCGGAATCATGGACATTGTTTTCACCATGGCTAGGATTATAAGTCAGATTCGTAATTTGAATGAAGAACTTAGAGGTTCAATATATAAATAACGAAGTATTGCAGATTTGTTCAACGATGCATATTATCACATGCTAAGAGAGATAGCCAACTATCTCACAATAAACCCAGTCTTTAAGTCCCCATGAAATTCATGAAATTCGAGATATAAAAAAAAGATATCTTGAGCTAATTTATCGTAACTCTTGTAAACATCTAACCCTAATTTACACCTTAATTTTAAAAATTATTATGTTGGGTATCCGTGAACGTGAAATTTAGTGGTGACTGGCGAAGATTATTGCACTCGATTCTTTTTGTGCTTAATTACAATACCCTTAAATTAATTACTGTATAACGAGAAAACTCTATTTGCAAATTCTTAATTTGACCATTTGGGGTCTTTGCCTTGAAAATCACGTTTGAATCATATGATTTACTATGTCCCGTAAGGTCACAAAGACTCCATTTGTTAGTTTGGATAACCATATCTAGAATCGTAATTAAACTTGAAGGTTAGAGCTAAAGGTTAGAATTAGAATTAGGAAGGGTTATTCGAATCTCTGAACATTATTAATTTAGAGTATCAAATACCAATAATTTTTGAGATATAGCAACTATTGTGTTGAACACCACTAGTATCATAAATTTGCTGATGCGGTAAACTCGAAGTCAAATTTTATACTTAACATAAGAGCGAATGTTATTTTAAAAAAGGTGGTTTTGTTAAATAATTCTTAAACCACCAATAAACACTTTATTAATGAAACCACTCAAATAAACCACTCAAATAAACCTTCGTAAAAAAAAAGGATGCCCACTCAAATTAGAATCATTACATTATTACAATATTAAAGTTTCGTCTAAAATTAAACATTAACATTAATTACTAACCACAAAATATAAAGAACCGTTATCTTTCTTTCTCATAAATTCAGAACCTCACTTTAAAAT